TGGATTATATGCCAAAAAATGTGTGATCGATACCATTAAGGGTAAGTTTAAATGTACTAAGGTAGCCTTCATTTATTCATTAGAGAATCATGAGCTATTTCATGTATATCATGTAAAGAGTAAAATGAAAGGTGAAATTTATCATGAGAAATAAAAGTGGAGTAAAAAGGGAAAGATGATAGAAAGGGAGTGAAACCTCCCAATGAAAACTTATTCTTTCTTCTTCTTCTTCTTCTTCCCTGTAATATCTCAATCAGATCATTTGTTGTCATGTTATACCATGAAAGGCTAAACCATGAACGAAGGAAAGAAGTAAAGAGAGAGAGAGAGAGAGAGAGAGAAAAAAGTTTCCTAAAGGATTGAATAAGAGCATGGAATTGTCTTTATCAGCTTTTCAGTGTCTTATGCATGCATCATCATTAACTTTATTATTGATAAAAACTTTTTACGCTTTTCTTTCTTGCATAATCATAATCAGTTGAATAATGTTTAAATTGAAGAGTAAAATGAACTTTTTTTTTCTTCCTTCTAATAATGCATTGACTCTGATATTTGGTCAAAGGTTTTTATTACCTATTCTTGCGGGAAATGCAATTTAATTGCAACTTAAGTTTTGTCTTTAAGGTGTCAGTTCAAGAAGTTTTACTTTCGAGTTAAGAGTTGGGACTGTGTGGGTTTGTAGACCTAAAACTGAGTCCATTTGTGGATTAATATTTCCTCCGTCCAGTTTTCGATTGATCGCTGTTGATAATCAATAATCATCATTTCATGTGTTCAGAAAGTCTTTTCGAAGTTCAACTGAAGATTTTGTTTATTCAAATCAAAAGGTGGAATTGCAAAGATAGTCCGCTCAATGACGCTTCAATTTTACAAGCGCCTTCGTGGCTAAAAATTGGATGAATCAGTCAATAGCATTTGATGCTGAATTCAGACTAAAGATCTTTAGTTCCCTACAAAAATTGATTTTTGTTGCTGACTTTTTCAAGTTTCTACTAAATGTACAGCTAATCAGAGGTTTACACGAGATTCAACTAAAATAATGCTCAATTCCATTAACGCTCTTCAATAAGCTTAAGAATCGGGATTCCCCTGAGAGATTTCAATGGAAAGCTTTGCTCTTTTGTATTAATTCCATTTCCAGTTCTCATATCGATTGAGATGTTCAAATGATTGTTAGCACAAATGTGTTTTCAATTTTCGCATGCAAAATAGGATCGACTGTCAATGAAAAGGTGCGAGTTATTTGATGCCATTTCGTACCTAATCAATTGAGATTAAAAGAAAAACCCAAATTGTGATTGTTTCCTTTGTAATCATCTTATAACAATCGAGAGATTTACGTTGAAACTCAATTTGTTAATAAAGATTGAGCTTAAACAAGGGACACAAATAAAGGCAACAACAAGTACAAATCAGTGAAACCTTCAATATAAGCTTTTAGTCTTTCAGGTCTTTGATAACTTGACTATCAGTTGTTGATTGAAAACAGTTGATTTACTTGTTAATCTTCAACATGTCTGGCTATTAATCTGTATAATTGTTAGCAAATGCTAAATATCACAACATGTTAATGGTTCGAGCATAAATGAGAATCAAAAAGGTGATCGAATTAGCTTGGAATTGAAATGCAAAGTCAAATTTCCATTTCCTCTATTCAATATCAACACAATTGACTGACCAATAAACATTCATTTGATGTGTTAACTAATTAAATGTTGATTGATATCTACTAATCTATAAGGTTATTATTTGATTGAAGGAATGAAGGAAACATGAAACAAAACATTTTCACCTTTTGTGTGCTGTTGACCTTTTATACCTTCTGAATGGTCCAAAAGAATCAAATCAAGAAACTTGAGACCAAAAATAAACCAGATTTGGTGATGAAAGTAATTGACTTGATAATGATGATTGGTGTTCAATTGAACTGAAAATATGATAAATAATGAGACTAAATTGCATTGATAAAGATGAAATAAAATGAAATGTAAACAGAAACAAAAAAGGATCAAAGAAACATTTAGTAAGCTCTGATAAATTGCCATTGTAATGAGCTTCATCATCAATAACCAAAGTCTTGCCAATTAATCTTAATTTACTGCCTTTATAACCAAACAATCAACTGATTTACCTTTTATATCGTCATTATCATAATTGTGGAAATTTATTGGAAAACTTATTTACTGTTGATAAAATAATGATAACTGTTACATGGATGAATATTGTCGTCAAAATCCAAGAATAGCACAAAATCCCAGACAACATCTTTAAGACATCTTTATCTTTATCTCAAAGATTCGCTAGATGGTCAAATAGATTGGAATGAAAACGTTGAAAAAACATAAACAGAAATTCACATCAATAATCAATGAATAACAACTTACTTAAGTATCGTTGCTAAATAATATGAAATTAGGTTTATCAGTAACATGCATGGAATTTCATTTATTGACTCAAGCTGTAATGAAAATATATGACAGAATAAGTAATTTCAAGCAACAGAAAAAAGTTGATGTTATACGCTCAATTGATAGCATACTTTGTAAACCATTTCTGTCACCTCGAATGGATCCAATATTTGTACAAGAAATCACAGTTTATTCCAAGCCTCTCGATTAAAGCTTCATGAGACTACCAGTATTATGAAAGAAATGCGCCGAAATTTTGCGTCTTTTCGAACGACATAAATTAGCAAGCGAAATCGTTTCCAACAAGTTTTGGAGAAACAGGTCAGAACTTCCTTAGCCTTCGGATTAAATGTAAAATAAATTTGCCATAAGAATCATTGTCATAATGCTATTGGCACACTATCAGTCAATCGGTTGACTGAAGGTGAACCAGGTTGCCTTTAATAACATTGGTTGTGCATTAAGTATGCTTATGTAATAATTTGAAGCATCTTTCAATTGTTGGCTTTGGTGCAAAATATTCTTGGTAAACCAGGATCAAGGTATGGTGTAATTAAACTGATGAACCAGAAAACCTCATGAAGAAAATAATTTAGGTAATTTACTATCAACACCCAACTAGAAGGACTAATAATACTAATACTTAATAGAGGTAAAGTGAAAAGTAAAGTGCTTCAAGGTATTGAATGGGAAGCTTAAAAAGGAGACCCAAAGGGTATACAAGTAAATAAAAGTAAATTACATTGGAATTAATTTGTTGAGACAAAATTAACAGTTGGATGCATAATTGACTTGGTTAACTCTTTCGCTTTTTGTTGTTACCTTCTTAACTAAACCCTTTCCTCTATTAAATTAACTTGAAACCATCCATCATTTAAGACTCGGTGTTAACCTTACCCTAAGATTTTATGCAAAACACGCTCAACCTGTTATCCAGCAAAGGCCCTTTAAAAAAGGTTATTTACAAAACTTAAAGATTTGATTACATTTCAATGTTTAACTAATTGAATTGAATTTGTCACCAACAGAGTCAGTGCAATTAAATGGATTTGATTTAATCGCAAACATATAAACAACTCTCAACAAATGCGAAAGCTTCACTCAAGACATTTGCCTTTCTTGGTTCAACCCAATTCTGGTTCTCTAGCAATTGGATTTACATTTAACAATTATATTTCCAAATCTGGTGTGATTAAACATCTTGACAGCAACAGTTATAATTATCATTATAATCATGTTCATCAACGTTAATAATTAATGTCTATTGAAGATGTACCAAAAAAGGTCTACTCAAGGGAAAACCAAGTCTTGGAGTAATTAATGGTTTTGGATTTGATTTTACCTTTAACTGTCTTTAACAATTTGCCTAGTTAATGTTCAATTAAATGTTAACAATTAATATTATTATAAAGCCTTTATATAAGTTAATAAAATGAAATAGTCACATGTAAATCAAATTGATAATATCAACGGTATTCAAGTCAACAAGTGTCTATTCAACTGTGAATCTGGTAACTATTACATTAGATGTGTGTACATTTTTCACGTTAATTGTCATTTTTAGATTTATATTTTTTTGCCAATTCAAGCAATTTAATGTAAATAAAGTGTTTACCTGCTTATTTCAGCATATTTTACCCTTTAATCATCTAGAAAATCAGCTAAATCTAAATGTAAGCTTCAAGTTGACAGTAAACATTTTTACTCTCCATTTTGCTTACCTAACCTTACTTTTACTTTTCAAGGCTCACTATTAATCTTTACGTTTAAATCATCTTAATCATTGAACCATTGATTGAATTGAAAAGAGTAACTGTTCATGTTGTATAAAGTTGATTATGATTGTTACAAAATGGATAAAAAGTCAACTCGATTCACAATAACCATTGAAGGTTGAAAATGTATCAACTTGACTTTTCTCATGATTACATTTTTTTGTTATTATACTCTAACTTTTGATTGATGGTAACTTTCATTAAATGTTAACCATAACCATTGGTATATATGGATTAGACTTGGTTAATGAATTGAACACTTTGGCTATTTAACAAGATTCAGATGTTGATTTGAACGCAACTCAACTAAACATGAATTTTGATTGTCTGTTTGCTCCTCAATTAGTCGTAGTCAACTGATGAGTTGTAAATGTTTCAAATCAACTAATTTACCTGTTGATTAGTTGCACTTTAATAATTGAACAAGTAATTGGAAAGTCAGAGAAACAGGTGAAATTAAAACAATCGACCCAAAAAGGTCTAATTATCATTGAAACAAGAATGCTACCTGATAATGTCAAATGTAATGTAATATAAATGAAGTCAAGTGATGTTAATTTAATTGAAAAAACAGGTAAAATGATGATGAATTCAAGATTAGAAAAGAAGGGAAAAAATGTTAGATTTTTTCTTCTTCTTCTTCTCTCTTCTTTATTTTTTCTTTTTCGTCATCTTCTTGTTATGTTATTATGTATTATTTGGTAAAAGTGAAATAAATTGAACTGAGAGGGAACAAAGAAAAAGATAAACTCAATTCTGTATCTGATTCTGCTGACATTACTTACAATGAAAAAGGCAAATAAAGGCAAGAAGTTTCAAATGTGTTTTTTTCACTGTGAAAAGAGTGCAGACAGGGAAGGTAAAGTAATTCAATAATATTTGCGTGAAAATGATAATAATGATGGTAATAACAATATAATAATAAAAAATAGTAAGGAAATTATATGAAAATTATGATTGCTAAGTCTATTTTTTGCCTTTTACTTTGGCACAATTTTTTGCACTCAACAATCAAATTCAATTGTGTCAATAGTTAGGACAGATACTTTATATTCAGATACTTTCATGTTTATATTATATTTTCTCAATTAGATGAGAGGAAAATTTTAAATTGAAATATTCTCATAGCCTTTATGAACGCAAAAAATTAAGTCTTGAGATTTAAGATTAACTATTTGTTGCTATTTCTTTATCGATGGCTCATCTAATTCATAATCGATGATTGAGAGTCAATTATCGATTGATCGTATCAATAATCATTTCCTTGCGACTAATCGTTAATCTAGAAAGTATTGAGAAAATATTGACCCTAACAAATCCATTATCGGTGGACATTATTAACATTTGATGGCAAATTTTGAATTACTCGAGATTAACTGAGTGTTGAAGAAGTAAAGTTGATTTTGATAGTAATCCAATTGAAGCGAAGCTTTCCAGGATCATATGTTTTTCATTGGCTTGTGGTGGTATCTGAAATACAGATTATAGGGTGAAATTAGATTTTAGGATTCACTCAAAGATAATACCTTTAAATAAAATGGTTCGGGTAACTTACTTCTTTAGTTGAAAATATACTTGCTTTTTACAGCTTTCTTGTATTGGTATTGAGTTTAACAAAATTCATTCATTTATTCTCTGCCATTTTCCTGAATCTCGAGTTTCTCTTGATTTGTATTGATGGTAATAAAGGAAATACAGAGAGGCACAAAGATTCGCTTCTTGATTTTTTCCCAAATTTTGCTTTATAAATATTCCAACTTTGACCAACTAGTCTTGGTTTGGATCAAAAGTCAAAATTAATGAGTCCATGGTTAAGTTGGCCTTTCCTTGTTATTCCTGTTGCATCTTTTCCCTCCAAGTAACCATTGTATATATGCATCGTTATCATTATCACCCTCTCCATGTTGTATTTGAAGATCATCTTGATTAATCTAATCTGAAAATTGATGAACAGTTAATAGAGGTGGTTAGTAAAGTAAAAGTAACAAGGATGAACCTTTATAATAAATGACATGAAAAAGGTTAACTCAATTGAGGATTGTAACTAATACATTAGGGTTATGTGTTATACCAATGTTATTATCATTGTAATTCAATAGTTATTGAATAAAATATAGAAAATGATAAAAATAGCAAAACATTATTTTAATTGATGAATAAAATTAATATTCATCCTAATGGATTAACTTTCATATACCCTAAAGTTCTTGATTTAAACCACTTGCTTTTGATAATATCAGATGATAAATTTGATTAAATGTCATACTGGTTTTGTTGTTATAAAAGTTGGATCACATTTTATCAGATTTCATCTCACTTTGATAATTCTATTTTTTTTTGGGTGACACTGGTTTAAATCTGGCAAGCCTTGGTCAATGTCACATTCATGTGAGAATCCATGTTTTGGGTTTTAGATGTTTCTTTGAGGTTTACAAGCTGACATTAAATTGAATCTCCTTGGAAAATGAAATTTATTGAATTATTTTCTTCTCTTTTTGGTCATAAACAGCCGCAATCATCTCGATCTTCAGTGGATGTTGCCCTTATTATTGAAGCACATGGCTTGGTAACTGAAATGTTAAACGATCCAACTCTTCCACCTCATATTATATCTGGTCTGCGAGCTGTGGCGTCTCTATTGGCACCTCCAGTTTCCCAGGTTTCAAATCGATCAAGATCAACCCCTTGGGCTGCGGTTGCTTTAGACAACTATGCCAGTGTTGAAGAACCATCTGAGATGCCTTATACCGGTGAAAAACTCATGTCTTGTAAGGTAATCAATATCAGCAACCTGGAATGATAATGATTATATTAGCAAATATAATATTCAGTTATTGTTACTATCTCACATTATTAATCAAGATGATGAAGAACCAAAATAATGATCAATCATTAAAAGTCAAGTATCAAAGAAGACTATCATTAAGATCTTATAATGATTACTCACAAGATCGAAGACTGACATCTAATAAATATCAAAACAAGACAAACCTTTATTTCTTGTCAATCCTGTAGCTGTGATGAATATAGAAATAATTTAGTTAATGTGTTACAACTTACTCAAGATTAATTAAAAATGAAAACATTGATCATGAATAGCTAAGGGTAACACAAAAACTGTTTAGACTTGAATACAATACAACAGACTTGTAGACCCTTTAACAATTTTGATTGCGTAAAAAATAAAGACTGTTGGGAAACATGAACATGATACAATGAATAGATTAACTTGTAACAAGACAATTATCTAGATAAAATTTAAAATTTTAACAATTGTCATTAATCATTGAATAAAAACAAAAACAAATTAATCAATAAAGGGAGTAACATTGTTAACTAACTGTAAACAATTTTACGAGGGAAAATACTGCCATCTATTAACGATTGAACAATTTACTTTATGTTTAGGTGTTCAAGACATATTTACGTTTATTTAAAACTGTTTTTTATTGATATCAATCATTTTCTTGAAACTTTAACTTTAGCGAGGTCGACGAAATGTTCCTCCTAGTGTACTCAGACGGATGTCAACATCGACTTGGTCTACAACAACTTCTGCCACTGGAATGCCAACTCTTGAGCCGGAACCATCGCGCAAGAGATGCACAAATTTTCGATCTGCACAAAGTCCAAACTCACCGCATCCACCTTCATTTTTGAGGTAACTGTTTAATTAAACTGTCTTTTTATAACTTTTAACGCTTTTAATTGACGTAATTCTCTTTATTTTTCTTTTAGTCCATCTGAAAAACCACCACCAGTTAAAGGAGGTCGATCATTTTCCACAACAGCTCTTCCAATGGGCGCTCTGTCTCATTTACGTGAGAAACGTGATCGTAAACTAGGTTCAATTGTACAATCTTCTTTGGATAGTAATCGTGATATTCAAACATCTTCCGAAATAGATTTACAATGTTTAAAATTTCCACACAAACATGTTGATTCACCAGCCAACTCTCCAAGTCATGTTCATTTCAACAATAGCTCTGAATCAAATAAAACACCATCCATATCAACTCTTACTCAACAACAGAAACAGAAACAACCTCAACATAATTTACAACCACAATTTCAACCAATTCACCATCAACCTCAACAACAATTTCAATCTCATCAACCATCATTTTCATCACCATCAACTTCTTTAACCCCTCATCTTCACCAACAGCAACATCAACCATCAAATGACCGTCGTGCCGATAAAAGATTAGAACCAATGCCAGATAAACATTTTATAAATCCATATCATGGTTCATCATATTCAATTGGAGCTTGTCAAATTCTTAAGCAAACAATTCCTAGATTAAATTTAACTTCGGATTATGATAGCAGCAATGATAGTCCTAGTGGCAGCGAAACTACTGTCGATGATAATGTCATAAGTGATAGTAGATTATCTAGTGGAGTCGTTGTTGGTGGAAGTGGTGGCAGACGTACGGCTTCATCAGTGTCTAAAGGTGTTACCACTGCCAGTCCTTCCGAATCTAGTTTATCGAGCTCTGGTGGCGGAGGATCATCGACAAATGCTCCATCAGCGAGTAATAACGCCTCAGGAAACATTGTTACTGCCAAAGAGGGGTCTTATTGTTTACTTTGTGGTATCGCTTTGCGCACTTTGAACACTAGTGGCAAGGTAAAACCACAACCGACATGGCCAAATAAATCCCCTCCTCCCCCAATGGAACCTGATGTTGATCCTTTCGGAAACATACCTATTGCAGATACGCTTTATAATCTTGAACGCCTTGCTCATGATCCTTTACTTAATCGTATCAATGAATGGGATTATCCAATATTTGAGCTCAATTCATCAGCTGAAGGAGCCATTCTAAGTCAACTAACGTACAGAATTTTTTATGAAGCTGGTTTATTGGAAGCATTTAGAATACCAATTGTTGAATTTCTCAGTTATTTCAGAGCATTAGAATTGGGTTACAGAGAGAAACCATGTAAGTTTCATTTTCTTGCTATAACAATTGAAATGCTCCATGGGTTCCTCGAATAATAATAAAATCATCATGTTTTCTCATTTCATTACCTTTTCTCTTATATATATTTTTTCTCTTCTCTCCATGAATAGATCATAATCGTATGCATGCAGCTGATGTTTTACATGGAGTTTATTACCTAACTTCCCAACAGATTCCTGGATTTCCTCAGATTCCATTAGATTCAGATAATTCTCCAGCACAAAAAAATTCAATAGGACCACTTCCAAAGAGCTATTTACGACACATATCAACTTGTGATGACAGTTATGGCATTATGGGAGCCAATTTTCCTGCCCTTGAAATAATGGCTCTTTATACGGCATCAGCAATGCATGACTATGATCATCCAGGAAGGACCAATGCTTTTTTAGTTCAAACCTTTTCAGCTCAAGTAATACACTTTATCTGAATCTCAATCTTTTCCCATTTATTTAATATTTAATCATTTTCTTTCTACCCTTTTTTTCAGGCTATACTCTACAATGATCGTTCTGTTTTAGAGAATCATCATGCAGCAGCTGCTTGGTCTTTGTTTATTTCAAAAGAAGAATACAATTGGCTTCGTGTTTTGGATAAAGCTGAATTTAAAAGGTTCCGTTTTCTTGTAATTGAGTTTATTCTGGCAACTGATTTGAAGCGTCATTTTGATATTTTAGCTGAATTTAGTGCCAAGGTTAGTTCAATTTACTCTAGTCTTATGTTTATCAGTTTAAACAATATATTTTTTGTTTATTCATTTATCAAATAGGTTAATGGTGATGATGGCTCTGGAATAGATTGGTTTTCCGAAACTGATAGATTGTTAGTAATGGAAATGTGTATAAAATTGTCTGATATTAACGGCCCTTGTAAGGAAAGAAATATTCACCTTCAATGGACTCACAGGATAGCTGAAGAATTTTACGAACAAGGCGATGAAGAAGAGAGCTTAGGTTTGCCCATTTCACCTTTTATGGATCGCAAGCATCCACAACTTGCAAGACTTCAAGAATCTTTTATTAACCATCTTGTTGCGCCTTTGTGCAACATTTATGGTGAAGCTGGCCTTCTTCCGGGAGTAATTGAATTTCAGGAAAATATAACATCTGATAAAATAAATGAAAGAAGAAAATCATCGGAAAGAAAATCCTCTGGTCAGTTGAACTTTAAATCAATTCGATTCATGACATTTATTCACCTTCTAATAAAATTTTTTCCTTTCCTCTGCTTTAGATGTGAAAAAAGAGAAACAAAAAATTAAAAAGATCACTTGTCTACAGACGAAACATCTAGAGGAAAATTATCGCTATTGGGTTAACGTTTTGAAAGAGGAAGCAAATAAAACTCCTTCAGATGACGACGATGTAAATGAATCTTCTTCAGTTAGCAGTGACGATTCATCAACACCCGTTTTTAGTTCAAATCAACCCTTGCATGATATTGTTGAATCGGAAGAAGTTGGTGCAACTGGAGAAACGCCACCGCCATCAATAAGTGATGAAAATCATCCAAGTTGATATTAATCATTGTTAAAAGTTTTATAAAAAGCAAAACAATCTAAACAAAAAATTATGTATAATTTAAATGTATCAATGTTGTTATAATAATATAAAAATTAATAGGTCCATCGAGATCGTGGCAAAAAAATAAATAAACAACAAATGTTTATAGTCTTTTTTTTCTGGAAAAATAAAACCAGTCAAATTTTGTTGATAAACCATAACACCATACTAACATTAAATTAAACAGTACTAAAACAGATTAGAATCAGTCTTTCCAAGTTAATTGGTCCATAAATAAGATCAGTCAATCTCTATCTGATCCAGAGCCTGGTTTCATTCCAATGAAAAGCTAATCCATAAAACTTGAATAAATCTTAAAATATCAAAGAAACTGTAGATGTTACAAAACACGATTAACAGAAATCGTTATAAATTGGCATTTTGCTTAAATCAAAAATATAGTTACTCTATCACCAACTTAGATATGAGTGAATTAGATATTAATAGACTTTGATGAAATAACTGAATAATAATTAAACAATAACAAAAAAAGACAATGAACCAAAATTTGGTAACAATTAAAAAACAGCTTGAGCAGACAACACAATAGATGGCAGTGTAACCCCAAGAACCAAAATAAAGTGAACCTAAAGTTGAGTTGAAAAATAATCCAATAGATGTCAGACCAACTAGGTTACCAAAAAATACTTTTTTCTCAATTAAAGTAACCAGAATTACAATTTAGTCTGAAACTGAACAGAAGAAAAGCAAAACGCTCAGTCAAAAAGAAATGAATGTTGATATAATTGAATCTTAAACCAGAACATTCATCAAAGTTGACACTAAATTACAGCAGTTTTAGACAAAATTAGTCAACTTTGAATGTTACATAAAAAAATGAACCAGAAATTGATAGCAACTAAAAGGTGAGCAATCAAAAGGCAATATTGAGGACAATTGATTAAAGATTAAACCGGGAATAACCAGAATTTAGCTGAATAGCAAGGCTCACAAAATGTAATCAAGTTTAAACAGAAGATGAAAAAAGGGAAACTCTTTTGTTTGCAGAATAGCCTAACATAATTCAATTAATTTTAATTCTGCTTCGATAATTCGTCAAGCTGCAATTTTGTTTATTCACTTAACCTTTTCCATTGAAATTTACTTTCACCTTTCCATGAATACAGATACCAATGGCCATCAAAATGAGATGAAAACCGGCAAAAGCGCAATCAAACAGATTCGAGTCAATCTCATGTATAGAGAGTTGACATTTCCTTGGGTCATCTTTGGGTTTGAACTTTGAATTTTTGCATGGAGTTTGATTGGAATCAATTTAAAGAGCGAAAAAAGAGTGAAAATTGAATTTTCAAAGCTTATAGAGGTTAATGTATTGTTCAAGTTGAAAAGGCAAGAAAAGTCAGTAATGTTTGAGAAAGTAATTAAACATTGGATGGAAAAAATTGAAGACAAAAAGATGGCGAAGCCACCATGTAAGTGATGAAAGGAAAGCAAACGACGGGATCTCAGTTATTACCTTCAGGGTAAACCACATATCATCATTCTTAACTCACTCTATCTGTACTTTAATCATCTTCATTTCTTGTGTGTTTGCGTTTTCCTTTACAAATTGTCTGTTGGTAACATTTAGTTTAACATCTTTATTGTTACACATCAACTTATTTTCATCAAATACAATTAACCATGGTTAATAAGGGAAGGGCCTCTTTCAAACATCCCAGTTCCGTTGTTCATCATCTCTTCATCCTCATCATGATATTATTTCATTTTTTGCTCCCTAATTTTCTTGCATTTGTTGTTCATTCTTCTTGTTGTTCCTTCTTACTGTTACCTTCAATTTCATGATAGGAAGGCCTCACCACGAAACGGCTGACACGGGCACGGCTTGTAATGCTTTGAATGGGAAGGTTAACGTTGAGGGCGGCCCTGAGAAGATGGTGATGAAGGAGCGAAACAAAGATGAGGGAAAAAAACTTCATCTTCTTCTTGCTTTTTTTTCCTCTTCTGAGTCTATATAATGAGACCTCCCTGGTATCATTGAGGAATCCGGACAATCCGACCTAATGAAAATGAATGTTTCCTTTTTTTCTTCTTTACTTCATTTGCTTTGCCAACGTAAACCTCATTACAAAAATCATTCTCATCACTCTCATCAAGCTATTATTATTACCTTTCATCACATTTAATCTGAACCTTTCATTCCCATCACAATACAAAAGCAACATTTTTTCATATTTACATTCATATGTTAGGCTGCAGACATGAACCTTTCAACCTAACAGAGTCACTGATAGCCGGTCAGCTAAGTCAATTAGATGAGACACTTTACGTGAAAAACGTTTTTCATTTTCCGTGATTTTCTTGTGCATTTCATCGACTGTGTCTAGCCAGGCAATTGAGTCTTTCAAACCTAACAGAGGCACTTTCATCGGATCAAGTATATTGATTATATCGAGTCACTGACATGTTTTTACGACAAAATAATTTTCCTTTTTCTTTTGATTTCTCAATCGTTTCCAATAACATTACATGGTATTTGAATTTTTTGTAAATTTTCACTCCAAATCTTTTACCAAAAGTGTCAATTTAAACTTTTTGAACGTTTATTGATTGAGTTGAGATTTGAAAATTGGAATATTTGACAATTTGAAAATGAAAATTTTGCATTGAATATTGGTTAAAATCAGATGCATTTCAACTCGACATTTTATGTCAACACTTGTCAATCTGTTTTAGTACAAATTAGCTAAAGGCTTGTCAAATCAGGCTGACTCACAATCTATCTATTTATATTTTCCGTAACATCTGAGTAAAACTACCTTCAAAATTCTTTATAATTCTTGCTTCTTTAGAACTCAATCTCCACAAAAATGGTCTAAAAAGAAATAATTTCACCAATAAAAAGGATTGTTTATCCAATGTAATTGTTGGACACAAAGCAAAGAAACTAGAAAAATGTCCATTTTTACGCTCATTTTCCTGTCATTATTTCATTTTCAAGTTTCATGATAAACTGGCAGCAAATGGAACCCGAAATATTGCCAAATGTAATTTGAAATTTTGCTTCAGTAATTGCCTAAGGTCATTAATATAAGTGAATAAAATTGAAGAGCAAAACACAAAAAAAAGATGTAATAAAACAAGAGAAGCAAAAAGAGGAAGACTTTTTAACATGATTTACATTGAACCTTTTTTTGTAACTCTAACAATGAACCAATTTTGCTTCATCTTTACCACCATCTCTTCATCAGCATCTCTTCATCATCTTTATCATCATGTTTTCCCTCCTCCTTGTTTGTCTCCATTCAATTGTAATTCATGCCAAACAAGATGACATGAGTAAGAGAGAGAGAGAGAGAGAGAGAGAGAGAGAGAGAGAGAGAGAGAGAGAGAGAGACAGAAAGAGTAAAAAAGACAGAACAAATCAGAACAAACTCAGAATGAAGTAACAGTGTATTAATATTACAGAGTATCAGAGTTGTACAAAGAAGAGCAAGAAAAAAAACAAAGTTTAACTGGAAACCCAGTTTAACTTTAGTTTGCTTTTTCTAATATTGTTACTCTTTCACATGATGATGAAGATGATAGAGATGAGGATGAAGAAAAAGGGACTCAAAGAAGGTCCTATAAAACCCAAAAAATCGATCAATTGTATAACCTCTTTTCTTGCCTGTTCACCAAGGCTCTTGTTACTGTTACAAAATGAACCGATTAAATGGCGATTCAACGATTCACTTTGTGTAACTTTCAACAAACATGAAAGACTCTTGGTTCATGTAAAGACTGAATCACATTGAGCGTCATTCAATATCGATCTCATCCTCAGCCTTCCTTAACCAATTTGCTTTTCTTCGTTTTTCGTGTCGTTCTCTTCACATTTTCTTGATTTTTACTTTTCTTCATCTTCCTTCTCTCTCTCTCTCTCTCTCTCTCTCTCTCTCTCTCTCTCTCTCTCTCTCTCTCTCTCTCTCTCTCTCATGCTCATTTCATCGAACCATCAACTTATCTTCCAATGAATCCAAACTGAACTTCACTCCCTGTCTCTCCATGTTTATACATACAACTGTATATTTATCTATCCTTCTGTGTTTGATTGGCCAATTGGGAGTAACAATTTGAAATTATATTATACCAGTAATGGTTGAAACCTTAAATGCCCTTCGATTGGAAGCATAACGTTAACCTTTTCCCTTGCACTCTTTACCATCATAATCATCCTTGTCTTCAAATGTCATTTGCTTCATCTTCCAACATGAGTAAATCATGAAAGTCGACAAATTTTCAATCGATTTTTCCTTCTCTTCACCAAACAATTTACCAACAGTCAATAACAGATTTTTTTCCCATTCCCTCTATCATTCTTGGTTTTGCTCACATTCCTTGGGAACAGAAGAAAGAACAGAAAATTGGAGAAAATCAAAATTCTGACATTTATAATGATAATGTTCAGCTAATTCTTTTAACCTTGCTAAAGGTAAATCCGATTAACAGTTTTTTTTCGCTTCCCATCTTTTTATATCCTTTGGTATTCATTAAGAAATGATGAGCGCATTTATTTTTTGTTTTGCACATTTGTTACCTTGATGATGAAGATAATTATTAGTAAATGCTACAACAAAACTAAATCAAACTCAGCAAAGAGCAAATGATGAAAAGTACAAAAGCTGTAAGTTACTTTTAATCATGCAACAACCTAATTTAGTTGAGCTTTAACCATTAAATGATTAGATTGTTCAGTTTCACATTCAACTTGTGCATGAGAAATGTGAATTAAGAATAGAGATGAAAGTAGGAAGAAAAAGGTAAAAGCTAAAAAAAAGCAAAATTGTCACAACACAGTTATTACTTTGATTGTGATAATAAGTTAAACGACATTTATTTAGCAAAGGCGAAGAAAAGTAAAGGTAAAAACAAAAGGTAAAATCAGATGAAGGTGATTAAAATTAATGATTAAAAAACCAAGAAATTAATATTAGCAGACTTTGAATGGAATTGTAAATCTCAGATTTATCGACATTTATTTTTACCTTTTTTCAGTCAAAGGTTTTACTCAAAGCTTCCTTATTTTGCATTATTATTGCAACAAGAGAAACTAAAGATTTTATTTAATCTCGTGAAAAGCGATGACTTAAGTTTAATCAACGTTTTGCCAGATCAAGGTTCACATCGGGTTATTTTGAATCATGACAAGACAATTGAAAAGTTTAACCACATTGAGATGATGACAAAAGTTCAAGATTGTTATCTGAATCAAAAGCTTGCGCAAAATGCAACTCCGGGTTGAAGAGTTGATTAAAATGCAAAGCTCTTTGAAAGTCTGGTGAGTCGC